GGGAGAGAGAGAGAGAGAGAGAGAGAGAGAGAGAGAGAGAGAGAGAGAGAGAGAGATAGAGAGAGAGAAAGAGAGAGAGAGAGAAAGAGAGAAAGAGAGAGAGAGAGAAAGAGAGGAAGAGAAAGAGAGAGAAAGAGAGAGAGAGAGAGAGAGTATTTTAAGGTTTACTACTGGGGGCCACAAAGGCATTGAACGACAACTTTATCGCCAAAAGCGGCACGCAGTAGTCAACCCCATTTTTTCGTTATTTTTTTTTCAAAACAACAATGACGAACACGTTCTCAGAGAAAAGAGTGACCAACATTGGTCATCACGCGAAGAGAAAGGGAAGGTCCTGTGCACCCAATTCAATTTTTTGTAGCTCTCTGTTTGTGGCTGAATGCGCACATTGCTCTAACAACAACATTTTGTGTACTTGTAATTTGGGGTGTCCTCTCTCTCTCTCTCTCTCTCTCTCTCTCTCTCTCTCTCTCTCTCTCTCTCTCTCTCTCTCTCTCTTTCTCTCGCGCGCGCTTTGTCTTTCTCTCCACCTTATTTCTTTTCTTTGCCTTTATCTCTCTCACTCTCTCCCTCCAGCAGAGAATAACGTAGCTTTGACAGAAATTAGAAAGCTGCAACAATCAACTGACCGTTGTTTGGCTTTCAGATTATTCATGCGGCTCATGCGTGAGGTTGTGAACAAAGACATCGCTCCAGAGAAAGGTGTCCGGTTTCAGATGACTGTTGTACGTCCTTTGATGGAGGCTGCCAAAGCATATCTTGTCACCAATTTTGAGAACACAAACGAGGTGGCCATCTATTCGAGGAGGGTTACGATCCAACTTAAGGACATGAGACTCGTTGATAGGTTGTCGAAGCCTCGTCGGGTTGAGAAATATCAAGGTATGCTGGACGAAAAGGCTATAAACGAGAAAAAACATCAACGGATGGAGGCTAGACAAGTTAGTTGAAATAGCAACAGAGTAGGACCAGCGAAGAGGAAAGAAGTGTCACCCATCACACGTTTTCTAGGCTTTTCGGATCTTTGGAGCATGGAGTCGGGGCTTTTTTGCTAGTGAACTCCTCGGTTTTAAGTCAGTTGCTTCTTGCCCTCCACCCTTTTGTGACCTAAATAAATAAATGCATGTACATATATGTGCAAGTATGCCGCTTCGGCGACAGACGGATGTGTGCTCATTTGGCGCTGAACCACACAAACGTGGTTACCCTTGCATTTTCTATTATATGTTGACTATCTAAACCTTTTTGTTATGGATGCAGACGAGGGCAATGAAGAGTGGAGCAGCGACAACAAAAAGTGAGACGAGGATGAAAAAAAGAGAGATGGAGACGGAAGGAGGGTGGATGAGAAAGAGATGTCACAATTTCCTGAGAGAACAAGCAACGGAAGCGAAAAGAAACGCATCAGAGGGGAAGGTGCTTGCAACACACCCTCAAATGATAGACAACTTATGCAAAAGAATAATTGAACGCAAGAAGATAAGTAAACTCTGCCACGGTTATTCCCCATGTAGGAAGTCACTACTTTAGGTAAGTTGCTTATCGCCCTTCACCCATTTGTGGCCTAAATAAATAGATCCGTGTACATAGATATGCACGTATGCCCCTTCGGCGATAGACGAATGTGTGGGCACTTGGAGTGGAACCACACAAACGTGGTTACCCTTGTATTTTCTATTATATCTTAGTTATCTAAACCTTTTTGTTATGGATGCAGACGAGGGCGATGAAGAGGAAAAGCGGAGCAGTGACAACACAGAGCGCAACGCGGATGAAGAAGAGGGAGATGAAGACGGAAGGGGCGCGGATGAGACAGAGATGTCCGAAGACTGCTTGAAGGACATTCTCGCGACACTCACGAGGCTGATGACGAGGACGGGAGGAGCAGCGATGGCACAGCGCAAGACGAGGGCGGTGACGGGGCAGACGAAGACGAGAGGGAATCCGAACGTGGCGGCGAGGGGGGCGCAGCTGACGCGCTCCCGATCGACAGACAAGTAGTGAGGCACTAGAACATAGTTCAAAAAGGTAAACAAAATGTGTTGTAGTTGCTCCCCTTGCACAACGATTACGTGGTAACGGCGCAAAGTGATGACATTTCCTTAATGCGAGGATGTCGCTGTGATGAACGAACAGTTGAAACGGGCTGTCGAATTTCGCACGTGCGACATGCAGAGTCCTTAATATTATTTTGTGCGTTGTAATGTGTGTTTTCCAGCAGATGGAAGGGACCCGCAAAGAAAAGTGTGCGCGAGCAGAGGAGGACAACAACAAGCCAATCAAGAAAGCGGCGTATTCTGAAAGGAAATGAAGGATAAGCTATTCCGGTCGGTCGCAAAAGTCTTTGCTTTCTCAGAAACAAAGGACGCAACTCTGTACCCGACAGAGGATGAATTTTTCACGGCGCTGCAAACAACGGCCAAACTGATAGGGGAGAACGCGGAGGAAGGACTGCGATCACACGTAGCGGAGTGCGGGATTCGAGCAGTCATAGGGGAGTGCAACAGAATGATGACAACTGTGCGTGGAGAGATAACATGGCAACTGAAACATTGGTTCTGGGCTGAAAAAGGGATCCCGCTTGTATGATCGTAGCAAACAGATTTCCAGCTCCCTACTCGCAACAAGATGCGAGTAGAGATGAAGGAGAACAAAACGTGGAGACGGAGCGGCGACGATTCTTGGGGTGCTCCAGCATTCAAGACGGCACTCACCAAGGTTTTTCAGATGAGGAGGGACGGCGTGAACCTTGGCGTGACCCTGCAACAACTGACTTTTGCGGGGATGGTTATGCAATGTGAAATGGAGCAGACAACAAATACCAGCAAAGAGGCAGAGCAGATAAAAAAATTGGTCTCTATAAAGCAGGACATCGCATTATCTCTCCGGAACCGCGATACAGTCATCATGAGTTTTTCGATCTTCAAGTTGGACCGTGCCTTATCTGTTGCTGAGAAGGCTGCTGCACTATTTCGGGTTGGCTTGCCCTCTGTCCACAGAAGTGGGCCACAGAACACAACAATAACAGAAGGACGATTTCGAGCTGGAGTTCATTGCACCTCTGCATGAGAGAAGCAGAGACGGGGAGAGGAATACAGAAAGTCTGTGCGTCATACCTTAAACAGCGAGGGGCGGGGTGTCGAGGGGGTGGGGGGGAGGTGGTAAACACAATAGTGTGCATCAAAGGTTGATTATAGAATCTTTGAATCAGAAGGTTCATTACCAGAGGTCACAGTCATTGCATGCTAGAGAGAGAGAGAGAGAGAGAGAGAGAGAGAGAGAGAGAGAGAGAGAGAGAGAGAGGGAGAGATATAGCTGTCTCTTATACACATCTAGATGTGTATAAGAGACAGGATAT